AGCCTTGTCGCTCGTAGCGTTCGTTGTGTGAAAGGCCGTTCTGATGTTGGTTTCCCGTAAATTTAAAACTGAAGCTACACCATATTTTCAGTTTTAAACGAGTTAGACTTGCCTACAGCAAATGTGAGCTATTTTTATTTATACTGGTAATTGTGATCGACAAAACGCTTAAAGTAACTATCACCCATCCATAGCGCTGTTTGCCAGATTTCGGGTACCCGCACCCGCCCGAAGTGCGGGTGGGTATGGCTAAAACCACGGGTACCCATCTTTCGGGCACCCGCTGCGAGCTCTGATGTCATGTGCCTTCATCCAATCATAGCGCTCCAACATGTCCCAATGGCGTTCCAGAAGCAGTTTCAGACAATAGTGGAACGGTTCGGTAACCGTTCCAAAGGTCACGCCTAACCATGCAGAGCCGGTGCAACTGCAGTACTCCCACTCACCACTACTGCACAGTAGCCTTGTTCTTAATGCCGGTCGCATCGCGCTGGGACGCCAGGGCCTTCGTCCCAAGTGCCTTCGTCAGCATGTCGACCAGTTGGAACTTCGTGTCGATATAGTCCACCTTGACCGTTCCGCGTTCCACGCTCTCACGAGTGAAATGGTGCCGGATGTTGATGTGCTTGGTCCTTGCATGGTCCTTGCCAGTGCAATAGCACCTTGGTTATCCTCCCATATCTGCGTCGCTCCCACTTGCTCATGACCCACGTACTTGAACATCGTACGTGTCCACAGCACCTCTTGCGTGCACAGGCTCAAAGCCATGTACTCTGCTTCCGCCGAGCTGAGTGCAACCGTCCTTTGAAAATTCGACTTGAACGCCACTGGGGCGCTCCCAATCATAACCATGACACTGGATACGGACGCCTGTCGTCGATGTTGGAGACCCAGTCCGCGTCGGTGTACGCTTGAGCCAAGGCGTTCCCGGAACGGCCTTGGTTTACAATACCATGCCCACGCGTAGTCTTCAAGTAGCGAAGAACTCGAATTGCCGCCTTCCAGTGTTGTCGCCCAGGGTCCTCGTGGAAGCGGGGCAAATGTGTCACCACGTACGCGATATCCGGCCGAGAGCATGTTGTGATGTACATCAGACACCCGACCAAGGAGCGGTACGGCTTCGACTACATCTCGGGGCGTTCCACCTCCGTCGTTGGCGATATATCCTTCGAGAACTTCACGTTTAATGCGCACGGGTTCTCCACATCCTTAGCGCTCTGTTGATTGAAGCGTTCCCCAACGTCGTCGATGTATTATCGAGTCTGCTTGATCATAAGCGTTCCCGCTGACGTGTCGTGGTTGATCTCCATACCCAGGATGAATTTGGCCTCGCCAAGTTCCTTCATCTTGAAGGCGTTCTTCAGTGCGTCCTTGACTTCACGGATATCCTCTCGTGTCTTAGCCGCAATGATCATGTTGTCTACGTACAAACACACGTATACGAAGCCGTTCCTGGAACGCTTCACGTAGACACGTTCACGTAGACACGTTGGCCGGCACCACAACACTTGAAGCCGTTCCGAATGAACACGCGGTGAATTGTCTTGTTCCACGCGCTCGCAGCTTGTTTCAAATCGTAGATTGCCTTCTCCAGTTTGCACTTCACACCTTCAGCGTTCTCCAATCCGAGAGGGACGTCCATGTAGACCAAGTCCACTAGGATACTGTTCAGGAGCGCCGTGTCAGCATCGAGCTGCTCCATATTGTACCCGTATGTTACACATACCGCTAGCACCACACGAATCGAATTCATGTTTGCAACTGGAGAGTACGTCTCAAAGAATTCTATTCCAAACTTCTGCTTGAACCCCTTCGCTACCATGCGTGCCTTGTACCGGATGGATTGACCGTCCCCGTCACGCTTCTTGGCGAACACTCTGCGACATCCAATCGGGCGTCCAGGCGCTCCACATGGATCGAGAGTCCACGTTCCGTTCCGAGCGTGAGACTGCAACTCCTCGTTTACTGCCTGACGCCATTTCGCCGCTTCAGCACTAGCCATCGCTTCTTGAAACGTGTTCGGCGTATCTGGAGCGCCATCGATACTGGCAGCATATGCCAACACGGCTTCAGCGATGAAGCCGTCTTCGTCGATCCTGGCACGCTTCGGGGTCAGCGAGCCGTCACTTCCGTTCGACTTGTACTCTTCATCATCGTTCGGACCGTTCTCAAGTAGGAGCACAGGCTCCCGCGATCTTCTTGAGCGCTCCGTATCAGGGTGGAATATCAGGCGTTCCTCAAGGAACGCCTCTGGCGGCGAGTGGTACGCTGTCAGTTCCAATCCTACCGGTCTTGGTTCCACGGGAGGAGGCAGCGCTTGAAGCGCTCCACTCTGTTCTGGCTCCAACTCGTCCATTTCAACGTCTTGGACAGGTTCCTCCACCTCTTACATCGGTTCGTCTGGAACGGCTAGGCGTTCCACTTCTGTTGGAACGCCAGCTCCATCGCCGTTCTTAGCCACCTGGACAACCGTTGTGGGCGATGTCAGCAGCGTGTCGTAAATACCTCCAATTTCACGCTCGTAAAGTTTCATGGAACGCGACACCTTGACCTTGGACGCGTCCCAGTCGTAAGCACGATACCCTTTAACGTTCTCGGCGTACCCGAGGAGCGTGCACCTGAAACTCTTGGGTTCGAGCTTCGTTCTATTCACGTCGTCAGCGTGAGCGTACCGTTGCGATCCGAACACACGCAAGTGATTCATCCGAGGTTTTGCTTGAAGCGCCATCTCATATGGCGTGACATCTGAGTTAACCGTGCTCGTGGAACGGTTGATGAGGTACACTGTGGTACTCACCGCTTCCGCCCACCACTCTGTCGACATGGACTTGTAATGTAGTATGCTACGCGCCTTCTCCATGATAGTCCGGATCATGCGTTCCGCCGCTCCGTTCTGCTGAGGGCTGTATGGAACGGTACGCTGGTGCACGATGCCGTTCCGTTGGCAAATATCAGCAACCGTCTTATTCACGAGCTCCGTTCCATTGTCGGAACGCAAACACTTCAGGCGTTCCCCCCATCGATTTTCGTGGAGCGCCTTGAGCTCTTTCAGCTTGGTGACTACTTCGCTCTTGCTCTTCATTAAATACGCCACGACATACCTCGAGTAGTCATCCCGGAACGTCAGCACGTACTTGGCACCACCCTTCAAAGGCATTCTCATAGGCCCCATAACGTCCGTGTGGACCAGTTCCAACACACGCGTAGTCTTCGTCATCGACCGCGACGGGAACGATGTCACTGTCTGCTTCCCCTTCATGCGTCTACCGCACAAAGAGCCGTTCCCATACTTCATCTGCGGGATACCGGTCGTGGAACGCACATGAGGAACGCTGGAACTCCACGCGCAAACCCCGTTCCGTGAGCTTCCCCACCGACAGCAACCGTCTGTCGAGCCCCGGAATGTACAGTACGTCGATCATACGAATGCAACTTCTATCCAGACCCGTCAGCTGAACCGTTCCCGTTCCTTCGACGCGCAACTGCTTGCCGTCTGCAATCGTCACGCTGATACCAGTGTCCAGACCCTTGTACTCGATCAGGTCTCCCATGTGCGGGGTAATGTGCGACGTCGCACCACTGTCGATTAGCCACCCGGCCAGCCGGTTCCTAACTTACTGCAAACACTGCATCGTCCTTGCTGCCACCGTTCCGAACGGGACAGTCTCGCCTTATGTGGCCCGCTTGGTCACAGTTGGAGCACTCGCCTTGGAACGTGTCATTACGTCTTGGAACGCTGCTTTTTCGACCGTTACCTCGGCCGCCCTTTGGAACGCCAAGCGTTTCCGCTCGCTCGGAGCGCCTTCTCTGCGGTAGCTTCCTTCTTCTCGAGGCGTTCGTACTCCTTAAAGCAACTTCTCCTTAGCCTCGATAAGCGTCACGTCGTTTGCGTTCTCCACGATGGACGCGATAAGCTCGTACTCGTCCGGAAGACTGCTAAGCAGTATCACGAGCTGCCGCTCCTCGTCCATTGGCTCTCCAAGCGTCTGAAGACCAACAATCAACTCGTCGAACGCGTACGGATGCTTGGGCATAGGCATTTCACTCTCCATCTTAAACTCATGAAGGCGACGTGTCATAGTAACACGATTGTGCAGCGTCGTCCAGTTGTAGAATTGTCGAAGCGTTCCTTAACCCTCCATGGCACGCGAGGCGTTCCGAATCTTAGTTTGGTGCTGGAGCTCCATGGATTAGGCAATAATGCCGAGAGGTTTCGCATCGTTCACAAGTTGCGCCTTAATTACCTCGCTCTCGGGCTTGACCACTTGAACATGCCCCAAAATCCCCTTCCTCGCCAAAGTCATGCGCATGCTGTACTACCAGTGGAAAGAATTCCCACTGCCTAGGTGGACTTCAGCTCTCTTCGTAGTCCTCATTCTTGGGCGTTCCAGATCTGGCGTTCCAGATTCGGTGTTCCAGGTAGCGTCGTAGTTGCGGCTGTTAACCTGTTGGTTTGGGGCTTGTTGAGTAAGGCAAATACCGAAGTGAGTAAATTAGTGCTAACCAAAATTGTTCAACATGTCTGTCTAAACACTATCTCTCTGTTGTTCCTCTTGTTGTCTTCTCGTAAGTGTGGCGTAATCACTAATTTCATGTGCCTTCATCCAATCCTAGCGCTCTAACAGGTGATTAGAGAGCTTTCGGAACCCCGTTTGAGTTAGGTTTCAGTTCCAGATAGGCCATTTTTTTCTATCTCGAGAGAAAGCTCAAATGTTATTTTCGGTAAGCTGCAAGCAGGTTTCAGCTTCATTTTCAGTTAGCTCAGACGCCTCACTCACGTCTTCACGATGTCTTCGTCCAGCCAGCGAGAGGAGCCACAAAGACTGCCCAGGCGAGCTGCCGATTGTGCTGCTGAAGAGAAAGAAACGCGAGAGAGAGAGGAGCTGCTAGCACGACCAGCATTGCGCCAGAAGTTTGCTGCTGTGGACGATATCGTGCTGCTAAAGGCCGTCAACACCTTCCGTCCCTGGACTGCTGCAGTCGGAACGTCGAAAGGCATCATGAAAGTCTTCGATGATATAGCTATCCATTGTCGTTTAGAGCAGTCGTTTGGCTTGAAGAAGCCTGGAACCGCAATGCGCACCCGCTTCACAAACTTGGTTAATCAGTACAAGGCAGACCAGTGCCAGTCGATGCGAAAGTCAGGGACTACTGAGGAATACGCCGAGCGGGAAGTGCTGCTTCAGAATATCGTCACGCTGATGAACGACTGGGAAGATAAGGAGGCGCAGCGCAAAGAGGAACAAACGGCAAAGCAACGAGGTATAGAACGCTCCGGTGAGCTTTTGCGTAGTCTTGCTATGGGCGAGATCGCTTTCGACGAAGAGGAAGAGCTAGATTTTGCTCTTGACAGTAGTCGTAGTGGAGAGGACAGTGGCGAAGCTACGGACGCAGCAACTTCGTATCCAACTGTTGGCACTGCTACACCAAGCAAGCGATCCACTCGCGCACCGCTAGGTACCAGCAGCGGCCGGAAGAACAAAATTACTAAACGAGAGCTTGATGTAGTATCTAACGGGATAACTAGTGCTCTTTTGGAAGCAAGCGAGGACGAGAAGGCGAAGTACCAGTACAAGATGCAGCGCCTTCAGTTTGAACGGGAACAGGAGGACCAAAAGCGAGTTCACGATGCAGCAGAAGCTGAAAAGCGCCGAGCTCATGAACTTCAGCTCGAAGACCGCCGTCTTCAGTCTGACGCAGCTCGTGATAAACGGATGCAAGAGTTTATATTGAAAGTACTCGAGCAGCAAAAGCAATGAGCTACCTATGTAGTTCTTCATCTTGCAACGGGTTTAAGCCTAAATAAAACTCCAGAGACGGAGGCATCATGCCGAAATACATCGAAATTTGGTTTCCTAATGGCTGAAGACAGGTATGACAATTGAAAAGGAGTACTGCAGCGTAAAAGTTTAATCCCACTGCACTTTGACGCACTCGTTGCTTTTTATCCCAGTTCAGAAACTCCCAAAGCGTCTTCACTCGCCCGAATCCCCACTCAACGCATTCACGTACGCTGCTCATGTTTTTGTTGAATGTCGCACCTGCGGCGCTGCCTACAGACGACGGCGAGCAAATAAATCCACCGCAACCGTACGCGGGATCGCCGTAAATCACTCGGTTTGAGAAAAGTCCTTCTTGGTTTTCTTCCATCACGTCCAACACACCACTGATGTTCAGCATGGTAGAATCATGCTTTCTTCCTTCTACTGGTCCAAACATGCTGACGATAATTCCATCGGGAGCCTGAATGCTCTGCCAGTTGAAGCAGTGTTTTCTCGGATGGCCATTGTAGACTGATCGCTGCAAATTCTCATTTGGTATGTCCCCAATCTCGCGTGCACTCGGTCGTGATATGTACTGCTTTGTGCCGTCAATAAATCCCCAGCAACTTTGGAGTGCTGCACCAGAATCCCTAGTAGCCTTACAGTATGCAGCAATTCTAACCGCGATCACCGCCTCGTTAAAGTACAGGAGATCTTTGTGCCTGTTGTAGAGCAGCGCCACGGTTTTCGCAATAACACGGCTGTAAGCTCCCGTGGACCTTCCGAATTCAGAAGCCACAGTGAATAGTTTAGACGCCTCTGATAGCCTTCGACAAACCATAGCTAGCGCTTCGACTCGCGAAACGTTGTCTCCAGCAGCAGTTCGCACTCCATCGCGTGGCAGCCCCAACAAAGCAGCTAGATGATGTAGTTGATCAACGGTAAAGCGATATCGAAGGCGTGCTGTGGCATCGTCCATCATTTCATCAAAGCAACGAGACGAATCCACAGCAGCGGCGGCGTCACGCAGCCGAAAACAGTGTAATTTCTTCAGTGTCTTCATTATTCTTAAAAACCGCTTCGCGTTGGCGCGGGAAAGCCGCCACACTTGCTCCAGCACCTCCATCGCTTGGTCCGCCGTTAGCTTTGGTCCAACAAACATCGTGAACGTCTTAGAATGCCGTCGGCGCCATCCATCCCAACTCAAATCAAGAGGGGGTAGGCTTGAGGACCAAGATTTCTAGCTCAAACCTACTCACGTTTGAGTTGACGTACAACCCCTAAACAGCGTCTATCTCGAACTGAAGCTGAAACGTGCAAGAAAAACAGACTCCGAAAGTTCTCTATTACCCAATGGCGTTCCAGAAGCAGTTTCCGACAATAGTGGAACGGCTTAGTGACCGCTCCAACGGTCACGCCTAGCCGTGCTGAGCCGGTGCAGCTGCAACAAACGCGCCGAATCTAGCGAGTTGCTGCAAAAATACCAATTGAGTTAGCATCTGAGGAGCTTGATAGCTTCATTCGACTAAGGAGTTGCTACAACAAGCTACGATGCTTGATTTGCCAGATCCTGAAGGGTCCCTTTGCATTTACATCGATGTCAGCTGGTAGATGGATCATCATCCTGATACTGATGAACGATTGGTGCAGCAGCAACTCGGCGGCAGAGCAACAACACAATTTCTTACACTGTTTGAGCGGAACCGCTTGCAGTGCATCGAATAATTGGAGTGTGGTCGGAAAGGAAAATTGTCCGATAATTTGAGCCTATGCGGAGCTTGATTATTTGCTCATCCGTGCCAAAAGACTCGAGATGTTCACTGATCATAGCAACTTGATCTACATCTTTGCCTCAGGTGCCGAAATTAAGAAGCATGTCCGCGGAATATTACTGCGCTGGAGCGTCAAATTGAGCGAATACCTATATGAAATCGAGCATATTCCTGGAGAGCAAAGCGTCTGGGCTGCATGCTCTCATAGTGGACAGGTGAGTAGACTGATTTAGCCCGCACAGCATCAATGAAGCAATGAAGCACAGTTATGGAATCACAACTTTGATCTCTTACCGATATTGAATGGCCTCTAAGCGATATTTTAGTTGCCCAGAGTAGAAAAGTAATCTATTGATCACACACTCGATGAACGTGGATTGTACATAAATTCAGTTTGCAAACCATGAATTCCGGACGTTGCAGAGGAACGGCTTCAGTGGTTCATGATAGTGGCGCATTGCGGAGCACAGGGACACCGTGGTATTAATGCCATGGTGAAAGAGCTAGACGATTTCTTTGGTATCAGTAATGACCACATTAAGACGCGTGCATTTTGCTCGTCGTGCTTGTTGTGCTCATGTCAAAGGTGGGAATATCGTACCGAGACACAATGGCGAGCTCTAGTGACCGCAACGAAGCCCTTCATATGGACTACCTCTCTGTTGAAAAGTGTGACGACGCTAACGACTGCATCGTCGTACCCAAGATGACTATTTGCAGTACTACGAGCTGATTCCCTGCCGGAGCAGCGATGCCATCTCAGCTGCTGGGGCAAATTTACACTGGGGTATGAGAGTTGGACCGCCAAAAATTTTGATTAGCGATACGGCAACTTACCTTTAGAGCGAGTTACTTGCAGAGTCGTGCAGTCACGCGCAGACAAAGTAGAACTTTACCGTAGCAACTGTCCGCGGATCAATGAGAGTACTCCAAGTTTTGCAAGTGATTATTCTCGAATTTAAGCTGCAGCAAGACCAATTGGCTGCCGTTCTCCCACTCGTTCAAGCCAATCTGAATCAGACACAGATACAGCAGTTGAAAACCTATCTCCGAGCTGCAACGAATGACGTTGGTGTCACACAGGGAATCAACTTGCAGAAGTGCGTCAATTCATCCTTAATCACCAGAAACTATGTAGTATCACCAAATCCAGGTCCAATGTAGAGATAATCCCAGCGTACAGGCTCATTGCGTTTCGTAGCTGTCAGCAATGGCCCATAAGGTCGGGAAAGGAGACGTGGCTCTTTCACATGCTTGCACAACAAGCATTCTCGCTCAAATTTCACATCTTTCTCAGAGAGCCGCGGAATGTAGAATAGTCGTTTGGCAATCATTGGTTTCTGTCCACGGTGATCTTGGCTGCCATAGTGCGCCACGACAAAAAATTTCTAGCGAGGAGATCTTTAGCGGCGTTGGGAATCCATAGACGCCCTGTGACCATCACCACCCCGTCTTCTTATTCAAAATTGACTCGTAAATTCGAGCGTTCCCGAGGAGCCAGGTATTGAGCGGCTCGGACATGTTCCAGTGTAGGACAAACAAAATTTTCATCAGCGAGTGGACGAAGTCTGGAGAGTGACTCCACGGGTGCAACAAAATGCCTGCGTGTCTACACGGCCGCCATCGAAAGCACCTCCTTCTCCTGCGTGTGCCAGCGTGAGATAATATCCGCCCATTGATGCACTTCACCAGATAAATGTTCAATGTGGTAGGGCAATCCACAAAGCCGCATTGCCCAGCGCTACAAGCGGTCACGGACGTGCTTTTTGAGCTCAGTGTGGGGCGCGAAAATGTAGACAAGGTTCGCATGATCGCAGGACAGCCGAAACCCACGAGGCCGGAGAAAGAGGTATTCCAGGTCGGTACACGCTTTGGCGATAGAAAAAGCCTCTCGTTCGACCACACTTCAGATGAGTTGCGAGTCCTTGAATACGCCACCCTAGCAAATGATCAATTCGTGGCTCTGTTTGTCTACAGAAACACCAGGACGCCAATGTTTCACCTATGTCACTACAATACTGTATCCGGAAAGGGAGGCATCGGTGAAAACACACAGCTCTGCGTCCGGATCAGGGTGCACCATAATTGCAGAGTCCTTGATCAGTGAATTGACAGCAGCAAACGCAGCGGGTTCAGTCAGGTCCCAATGCGTAGCCACCAGAAGTGCGTATTTACTACGCTTGCTAATTCGTTTCTTCTCAGCTTCTAGCTTGGCATGAAGAGGAGCAACAACACGTGCATAGTCGGGCAGCGACTCGTGAAGCCAATTACTACCAAATAAAAATCGCTGTAAATCCGCCACAGTCTCAGGAACCGGAAGGCTACTCAGCGCATCCACACGAATCAGATCAAGACGCACGCCTTTGCTCGAGATAAGTCGACCACACCACAGGACGCCAAGCTCGAACAGCGAACTCTTCGCCATATTTAGCTTCAGGTTGGCATCCCTGACGAGCTGAAAAACTCTCGGAGCACCACAACAAAGTCACTAGCGGTAGGAGCGAAGCCTTGCTACTTAGTGCGTCGCTACAGGTGTGTTTCTCTGTTTTGTACAGCATGACATCATCCTGATTGGGGTATGAGTGGTGCGATAACAGTCTGTATCTGAGCTTGAAAATGCAGCGCACTATCCGTAGCCCCTTGCGGGACTCGCTTCGGTGTAAAAACACCATCCGGTGTAACAAACGGAAGCATCTCCTGGCTGTCTTGGTGCAGGGGCAATTGCCAAAAGCCTTGCGTTAGATCAAACCGTCCGAAGGCCTTCATACCGGAGAGCGACTCTGCGAGTTGTGCAGTAGCTGGCATGGCTCCAGCAATCAGAATCGTGACATGGTTCACAGGTTGATAGTAAATAGTGAGTCGAAACTTATCTCTAGACCCAGGCTTCCCAACTGAAACAACAGCGCAGGCCCAGCGAGAAGCATTTTTCTTAACCACCAGGCCATCCTCCACGAGTGACTTGACATATTTGCGAATAAATTCAGCTTGTAGCGGCGAATATTTTTCGGTGGGCTGAGGTAAGGCTTTGCATCTTCCTGCAAGGTGATCCGTAATGGTTCCACCACTGCAGCGGGTCCATGTCACGAAAGTAGCGAGGAAGCGTAGGAGCGTAGACGGCGAGTACGGCGCCGTAGACAGTTGAAGGGGAGGAGAGGAGTTGCTGCTCGAAAGCAAATTGAGAAGTGATTAATCAGTTAGAGTTGGCGGCTGCAAGCTAGTAGCTGC